GAATAAAACCCCAAAACCCCAAAACCCCAAAACCCCAAAACCCCAAAACATAAATAATATTTAGGAACCATAAATGCTATCAAGGATATCATCAAAAAGCAGACTTATCCACAATTTACCCAGAAGATATGCTACACAGTTCAAAGATTTCTTCGGGTAATTTTGCCTTTAACATCTAGAATCTCCCAGTCAATAGAAAAGCGCAAAATAGAAAATGACCATATGCTGAATTATAATATCTCAAATACAAAAGTTATATCAGGATTGTTGGGATCTATTGTATGATTGGGCATAGCTATAGTATGACTCTTTTCTCTAAAGAATAGCATTTAATGAGCACCAAATAAGAGTGCAACTATATTCTCGTTCCTGGACCTATACAAGAACAAACTAAGTATAAGTTTGTGAACATCATTCGATTCTCCTGGTAAAGCTCAAGTTTTATTTTAGAATGGCTACTTAAGAAAAAGATGATGATCATGGCAAATTTGTTAGAGTAACTTTACATTTTAACAGTAGAAATCTCAATTCAGCCACTACCTTAGAATCAAAGAACCAGGCTGAATACATTAGATTATGCAAAATGCTAATCCATTGAATTAAGAAAGCCAAAGTTAGGGCGATGGTAAACGGAAATACTTACTGTCTTGATGAATTCCTAACCTGTATTGCATTTATTATTCCAAGACTAGAAGTTAAAGACCAGTTTATTAAGTGCAAAGAAAGTACGAAATCTTCAATTATCATTATAGACCTTCTTTCTATCATTATAGAGCTTATGTACCAATATTGTCTCTATCTTCAAACAAGTAAGAAAACTCTTCCTGAAAAAAAATACCAAGAAATATTACTTAAAAGCCACAAAAGTAATCAAACAAGGTAACATATAGTCATCAAAAAGGGGTCAATATTGCTCATAAAACACACAGACTCCCTCTTAATCGACTCTACAGCCAACTACCTCAAAATTCTAAAAATCATGATCGAAGTAGACCACTTCTACTCCTTCCAAAACTCAGTAAGTTCCCTCTAACCCCAGAAGTCCAGTGACGAACCCCAAAAACTACATCTCGAGCTAAAACAAAAGCTTAAGGCCAAAATAGAACCCCTCATCTCAGAGTACCTCCACGACTACGACTTCAACAAAGCTCTGTACGGTGGTAAGCCCCTTGTCTGACTCAATAGAGAACGACATTTTCACAAAATGGGAAGAAATCTTCAAAACTCCTACCTAGCAGTCCTGTTTAAATCCTGAAATAAATTATGGGGTTTTGGGGTTTTGGGGTTTTGGGGTTTTGGGG